TTGGGCGTCCTGCCTCCATAACAATCGCCATTCTCGTACTGCAGTAGGACTTGTCTACTGTTCTGTCGGTGGAGCCCCAGAGCCTATCTTGACACACCAAAGTACCAAATTAGTTTTGACCACATCAATAAACCAATCACGAGAAGCTATGAGCGAATTCAGATATGTGAACAGTCACCCGCTCTGAAATCTTTATGCCCAAACAGAGACCATACATTTAACCGACTAGGAAGAGTTGCAAAGGCAAGTATCTTTAGCGGGTTAGCAGATAAAGCTGCGTGCTGAGGTCTTACTTCTTCCCAAATTCACCATCGACTGTACCGAGGTAAATTCAACACTAGTACTGACATACAGACAATAAAGAACTCACTCTAGGGGCAGAGCAGCAGTTTTTGGTGCAGTTAATTTGGAAATATGCTGAAGGCTGCAGAGTGGACCAGAGGGACAAGAGCGTTGCATGGAGATGGCAGCATGGCATTTCACTGGATCCAAGGCGTCGAAAAGCTCAATCCTGTGGTAGATAAAAAGGATATTAATAGGGGTGTGTGTGAGAGTGTTTCATAAGCAAAGAGACTCCCAAATCTATGACAGGTCAGCAGTAATTGACGATGTACCAGCGACAAGTTTCTGGCAAGCAGACCTAACAGACAACCGCGAAACATTAAAGCATAACAGAATAAAAAGAAGCGTATATAGATAACAGAAGTGTTCATACAGTGTGGTCTATCTATTTGTGTACAAAAGAGGGCAACGGACGCTTGTACGACCCTACTAATCAGGCATCGTATGCACACCCTAGCAGGTTAAACTGGCCTACAGATAGACAAGGTAAGTACAGGTAATAAGATCTTCTTCTGTGCTAAAGAAAGCCAACTCATTTGAACTATGGCGGTGGTAATATAAGTTTCTTTTTATTGTCAACACATAATCGCCCTTTACCGTCCTTTAAACTGCTCTATCCCCGCTGCTTGTATTCCCTTATTATACGCCTACCTATCCACTGTGTTCGTTACGATGGTCGCGCAAGAATTCGTTATCACTAACTCCACTAGTGCGCGCACATTCCTGAGAGCATATATATATGTGTGTGACGAGTGAGTTCCGAAACCACTCGGTGAGAACCTATTAAACATTGTGCATAATCCTGATCAATCCCGGCAAGGCGACGAACCTGTAGGGTAGTGGTTAGAGCGCTGGACTTCTAACTAACAAGGTCGCAGTTTCGCGACACCATTTGGGGTGGACATGACTGGCTAATGACGGCTAATAAGCCAGAAATAGGCATTCCAGTCTTTGTCCGTAATGTTTTTCTGCCTATAACATGCGGGCGGTTGAGCTGCTGCTAATTGGGCTCGAGAGCGAGTCCGAAGACATAACGGAACGACTGAGTTCCCTAGCCAATCGCCTACCTAAGATGGTATGTATGATAGGCGGTTGAAAGAAGGGAAAGGTTTTGAAAAAAAGATAGTATCATCCGGCGTTGGGTCAGATGCTTACCAGACACGGAGGTCAGTATTGAAGAGGTAGCAGGAACCACATACTAAGCGGACGACAAGGTGACCCTTGTCGGTGAACTCCATGGAAGAGCATACACCGTTATCACCGGCTAAAGGAGAGAAAAAAGCAAGTTTGAGAAACAAATAAGATGAGACCATTTCGGTATAAACGTCGTCACAAAAATAAACGGAAGGATGTAGGGGGCTTAGGTGAAGTCCGGCACGAGAAATTAACGGTGGTTTGAGGGCGAAAAGAAGCAAATTGTTGCTCAGCTACTGCGCCTAATCACCTCCTTAGTCCTCTTGAATTAGTTTCGCAAACCACAACGGTGGAAGTGGGAAGACAGTGAAACGGACTTGTGTGTCATTTTCTCTACCTGACGCGTATTAAAAATGCGGCAGGTTATAGTTCGGTCAACTGTCAGCAGACTTCAACTTTGTAAGTGCATTTACTGGAACGAGTGAACAGCAATAGTAATGAGAATGCAAGAAAGGGTTGCGTTCGCGAAGAATTGACGTTGTGGTTTCAAAACTAGGGGGAGGGAATTCAGGTACAAATGATAAGCGACTGATGCGCTCCACGCACAAATAACCAAGGACAACAAGAACGACGGAGGATGTGTCCCACACGGTAATCTGTGCTACAAGTATTGTGTATTATGAGACGTAAACAGGACTAGCTGACCTTAGGAAACGGGCACCCGAAGTCTCACAGTATACTTGTGACCCCAAATGCAATACTCCATCTGATGAACATCGTTGGAAAAGACGGCAAAGCTTGAAATTGTCATTTTTGGCCTATTAGCTGTCATTAGCCAATCATACCCAAACCCCGGATGGTTTACCTCCTGAGGCTCGAACAGACGATCTGTTGATCAGAAGTCCAACACTAACCACTCAACCACGGGCTCGTTGTCTTACCGGTCGAGATTGGTAATATCGACATTGGTTAATGAATTCTT